CATACACAGAGCCTGTCCAATAGGACAGAAGAGGAGCTAGCAGATTTTCCGCAACACACCTACAGACGCCACTACAGAACACGCCCCCAATAAAACAAGGGAGTGACTCAAGAAAAAAGGAGCGCCATGCAACAGTGAAGAGTGGCAAAAGGAAACCCCAAGGCAGCATTTGTTTACCGAGCCCCTCCCGAAGGAGGAAGAGGTCTGTGGACACAGGTCTCCGGGGAGAAGAGACTACTCAGACGTGGGTTCAACATTTAGGGGGAAAAAAAATACTGCTACATATGGAACATTTGCAGGGTAAATCACCCTGCGGATAATTAGAACTAAATGATTGAAAAGAAATGGCCATGATTGACTCTAGGTAAAAGCCAAGCTGTAAGGAAAGAAAATGTAATAGTATTTTATTGCTTGGCTGAAGAGTTTATTTACTCGGTCAATAATGTAAACACTATTGATTTAACTGTAAATTGTGGGAAATTATATTGTGAGGATGGACAAGAGGAAAGGGAGGGTTGGAGTGCTTCAAGAGAACTAATTCTTCAGTAACCAGAATAATAAATAATAAATTTTATCCAAGATTGATAAATCAAGTAATAGTAGTATATCAGTTTGCTGAGACTACCACGACTAAGAGCAGCAGGCTGGGTGACTTTAAACATCCAGAATGTAACTGGAGCCATGACTCAGAGGTGATGAGCTCTGGCTACTCTTCCAGAGGAGCCATGTTACATTTCCAGCACCGACATCTAGCCCAACCATCTCTATGTAACTCCAGTTCCAGAGTGTTCAGCACCCTCTACTGGCCTTATTGGGCAATGCGTCACATGGCAGACAAAGTACATCTTTGTTTGGTTTTTGGTTTTTCGAGTCAGGGTTTCTCTATTGCTTTGGAACATGTCCTAGAACTAGCTCTGCAGACCAGGCCGGCCTTGAACTTACAGAGATCCGCCTGCCTCTGGCTCCCGAGTGTTGTGTTGGGACTAAAGGCGTGTGCCACCAACGACCGGCTTCATAACGTACATCTTTAAAAGAAAAAACCAGAACCGTGTCCTCGAAGAATCTGTTAGCTGAAAGCTACTGTACTAGTGCTGCAGGGCTACTGGCTACTGGCTACTGGCTCCCAGGCCTCGCCGTTTCCGTTGCAGATGGCATCTTTCCCTGCATCTTCATTTGGCTTCATATGTCCTAATATCTTCTAACATTGGGGGGTTTTGTTTAGTTTTGGGTTTTTGCCCCCCCTTGATTTTGTGTGTGTGTGTGTGTGTGTGTGTGTGTGTGTGTGTGTGTGTGTGTGCAACACTCTACTTGCCCTGGAACTTTCTTTGTAGACCAGGCTGGCCTCAAACTCACAGAGATCTGCCTCCTGAGTGCTGGGATTAAAGAGTGTGTCACTACTGCCTGGCTTTTTTTTTTTTTTTTTTTTTTTTTTTTTTTTTGAGACAGGGACTCACTATATAGCCCTGGCTGGTCTAAAACTCACTATATAGACCAGACTGACCTTGAACGCACAGAGCTCTACCTGCCTCTGCCCCTCAAGGGTTGGGATTAAAGGCATTCACCACCACATCTAGCCCTGATCTGTTCTTGTACAAATACCTTCATATTAAACAAGGTGCACATTAATAACTCCGCTCTGTCCTTGTTGCTTTTTAAAAGACCCTGTAAGGGCCAGGACAATAGCTCAGTTGGTAAAATGTTTGCTTTGCAATCATGGAATTTAGTCCCTAGTGCCTACATTTGAAGAGAAGGAGGGAAAGCAGAAGGAAGAGAAAGCCAGGCACGCTGTCATTCTTGTAACGTCAGAGACAAATGATGCTAGTCAGTCAGCAAGCCTAGCCTTGTTAGTGAGACCCAGGAGAGTTAGAGGCCCCGTCTCAAAAGAAAACAAAAAAACAAGGTAGACCGTATCTGAGGAAGCCCCCCCCCCCCAGTTAATCTCATCTGCAGACACGTTGCATACTGACATGCACTCGTGTATACACAGACCCTACCTCAAAGCACAGTCATAGCTAAGGTTGTGGGCATCTGGGATTTCAACATATGAAACTGAAGGAAACACAGGTCAACACATACAAGTTGTATGTGCAATTGTTATTTGAAAATGTGGGAGTAAATGCCAGAAGAGCTGAGAATGACCGCCTGGGAAGGGAGGGAGGGAGGGAGGGAGGGAGGGAGGGAGGGAGGGAGGGAGGGAGGGAGGGAGGGAGGGAGGGAGGGAAGAGACTGAGGGCTAGGCGTGGTTGTTACTTGGATTTCACAGTCTTGCGCCCAGTCTGATTCCACTCCTCCCCAGGACTACCTCCAGGGCCCTGATGAGTTCAAGTGCACCTCTTGTCTCCCACACCTCGTAGAGAGCTACTCAGTAGACCTTCCCGTACACTTAAAGAGTTCAAGGCAGTTGTGCCGGGCCCAAGAAGGCTGAGGGGGGAAAAGGGTCATGTTTGAGGCCTGGCTAGACTACATAGTGAGACCCTGTTTCAAAGGAAGAAAACACAAAGGGAAGAGTGAGCTCCAGGGATTCTGAGGGACCTTCACGAAGAGCATCCTGCCTGGAGTTTTCTACCCCACAATTTTCTGGGTGCTTCTCTGATAGCACAGGGTGCTTCTGACCCTGTGAAGAATTTATCTTGATAAGGTTAATGCTCATGTCTCATCCCCTTCTCCCTGGGGTCCCTGTCTTCTTAAGGCCAGTTTGGCTGTTGAAGATGGCTACAGCCCACGACAGTAATTTTATGCCTCTGACTGCAATAGAATGTGTTATAATTGATGGCAACCCATGAGGGTTTGGTCATTTTTTTGTGTGTTTAGATTGGTCCACCCTTGTTTCCTCCAGTTCCAAAGGCTGATTGGACCCTGTGGTGTCTTCCTGAAGCTGCGTGGGTGCCCTTCCCAGGAGCACAGACCTGGTGTCCTCTGGGGAGTGGAGGTTGGTATGTATGTACGTATGTCTGTCTCAGCCTGCCTCAGATTATTGCTCCCTAATAAAAGCCTGATAGCAGGGCCCCATCAATATCTCAAATACATGTGAGGAAACGTTAATTTAGAATCAATTTTAGGATGTTTCAGACTGTAAAGTCCTTTTAACTAGATCTCTGGCGAAGATGTAGCAGCACTTTATGAGACTGTAAATTTCATGTAGAACAGTCTTTGTGAAATACACATCTCCCCTACACACAAGCTGTTCCCTCCATATCAATCATGGCCACTGCAAGTAATGTTTCACAAATATTCTGTAAATCACAGAAAACCCCATGATAATGTGAAATATGACTTTCACTTGTCTGTCAGACAAAAGAATCGCACATGCCTCTATCCCATCAGCACTAACATTTGTTATGGATAATAACACTTTCAATCACAACTATTTTTGGGAAACGGGTTTATTTTAAACCTTCCTTCCTCTCCCCGCCCCCACTGAAAACACTCTCCCAAGGACACAGGCTCCTACAGACCACAGCCCATTAATCCAGCTGTGGAATAAGTTGTTCTTCCCACTAACTTTACTTTGAGTGCTTTTAAAGAGTTAGAATAAACACCTCAGGTACAAGGTTAAGAAGGACTTTGCCTAAACTAATCAACAGGGGCAGGGTCTCAAAAGACCCCAGTCTCCCATCATGCTTGAAGTGGGCTTTGAGAGACACTGAGGCTTTTAGCAAACACCTTCCCCTACCACCCTTGTGTTTTCTCTTTTCTGGCCTTCACGGAGATGCCAGGCATGGCATCATCTATAAAGCCACCACTGGAGCAGAGTATTGGTGGTGCACACGTTTAGTCCCAGCACTTGGGAGGCAGAGGCAGGTGGATCTCTGTGAGTTTGAGGCCAGCCTGGTCTACAGAGCTAGTTCCAGGACAGGCTCCAAAGCAATGCAGAGAAGCCCCGTCTTGAAAAACCAAATAAATAAATAAACAAACAAATAAATAAAAGCCGCCACTGGGTGGTTGCCCAGGCAAGTGCATCCCTGGAACTCCATGGCCAGCCAGTCTAGCCAAGCTGGTGAGTTCTAGGTCCAATGAAAATCTTTATCTCAAAAAATAAGGTGACAGGCCTGACTCGGTGGTACACACCTTTAATCCCAGCACTCAAGAGGCAGAGGCAGGTGGATCTCTGTGAGTTCTAGGCCAGCCTGGTCTACAGAGTGAGTTCAAAGTCAGCCAAGCCTAAATAGTGAAGTGAGCCTCTATCTCAAAAATTAAAAATAATGAGGTGAAGAGCAGTTAAGGAAGACACCCAACATCAATCTTGAACCTTCACATGAATGTCCACACACATGTGCACACACCAACATATAAACATGTTACACACAGACAGAAAAAAATATTTAAATGAATTTCTGTTAGAAGTTCATTTAGGAGATTAAGGCAGGAGGTTTGTTGTGATTTCAAGACCAGCCTGGGCTACATAGCAAGGCTTTGTCTTAAAGAAAAAACAAAAAGCAAGCACTGTGGTGCAATGCTATCTCCTGGGAAACAGAAGCAGACAGACCTCTGAGTTCAAGGCCAGCCTGGTGTATGCTGTCGTTGATGTTGAAACAGCCTCTTTCTCAGAGTCAGCCCATTCTCACTTTGAAATCCTCCTCCTGCCTCAGTGTCTGAAGTACTGGGACTGTAAGTCTGTGTCATTGCTGGACCACCATGATACTCTTCATTACAGCCTGGCTAAACCTTGCCTGACTAAGTGGCATGTGGCCATGCTGAGAATAGATTTTTTTTCTAGTGTTGGGGATCAAAACCAGGACCTGGAACGTGCTCAGCAAGTGCTCTGCCTGTGAGCTACGGCCCCAGCTGTCATCCATTTGCTTGTTTTGTTTGACACAGTGCTGGGGAGAGAACTCAGGCCCCTGCAAGCACCACCAGTGAGCCAAGCCCTCAGCCACCTAGCCTGGCTTTTGCACATAAGTTCATCAGCACAAAGGCTCCCCTAGCTGGCAGCAGCTCGGTAGATCACGTGGTTATAAACATTCCGGTACCCCATCTTCTGTCCCTTACAGTCAACCCTGGGACTGTCAGAACATGACTTCTATAAAAGAGCAGGCGGCAATTAGCCGCCTCTTAAGTTTTTTGCAAGAGTGGGACAATGCGGGCAAAGGCCTGAGAACACAGATTCTCACCAAGTTCATCGAAACCAATGAAGGCAAGACCGGGCCCGAGCTGGAGCTGGAGTTTTCCCAGGGAGCCAGCTTGTTCCTCATCCGACTGACTACCTGGCTTAGAATCATGTATCCTTTGCTGCATTGGTGGGAGGTGGGGAGTCATTCAAAGGGGAAAAATAAGTATAGTTGGCAAAGGTTTTCTCTTGGTTCCAATATTTTAGAACTGCAAGAAAAAAAATGGTGATAAAAATATCACCAAAGTCAAGAATTCTATTGACTTTCTGTCTTCCTAACTCTAAGTGTGTCCTTATTCTTACCTCTGTCTCCTGAAGCTTGGGGCAACTGGTACTCTGTCTAAGTGGAATTTGTGTTTATTTTACACTTGATCCTTCCTTATGGACTTTGTTTTTGGTCTTACATCTTTTGCATTTTCTTTATCACCAATTTATTTTGCATCTTTTATTATTATTTTTGTGTGTGTGGGTGTGTGTGTGTACCACATGTGTGCCTAGTGGCATCAGAGGCCAGAAGAGGGCATCCGATCACCTAGAGCTGAGGTCACAGATAGTTGTAAACTACCACCTGGGTCCTCTGGAAGGGCAGCCAGTGCTCTTAAGAGCTGAGCCATCTTTCCAGCCCCACCCACCCCCTGGGGGGGGTTCAGTCTTATGTAGCCCAGGACAGCCTCAAATATTGTGTTGCCAAAGATGTCCTGATCCTTCTGCCTCCACCTCCCATGTGCTGGGACCACAGATGGGCATCACCATGCCTGGCATTAACGCTAAAACTTAAGATGAGATCCCAGCCTCAACCCTGAGCTCACCCAGCCCTCCCGTTCATGGTGAAACTATCTGGAAAAGTCAGTGCCTCCCTTCTCCCCTTCTGCTGCTTCCTCTGCAGTTTCACTTCTGCTCGCCCAGCTCCACCAGTGCCGGTCTGCCCAAGGTCTCAGTGGTTCTCTGGCTGCCAAGCCCAGTGGCCACATCCTCATTCCTCATACATGACCTCTTGATGGCATCTGTCGGTCGAGCCTTCCCACTTCCCAAACCCGTTCCCCTGAGTTCTGTGATTCTGGCTGACCTGTCTCTTCCTCGGCCTTCCTTCCCTTAAATCTTGGTGTTTCGTGAGCCTCTGTTCCCGTCTTCTCTATGCTCATTCCTTTCTGTTTCTCCCTGAATAATCAAATCCATTATTATGATGCCAATGTCAGTCTAGCTGGAAGAGTCTCCAATTCCCTTCCTGAATCTGAGCCCTTTACCTAGATATATCCAGCTACTGGCTCTACTAGGTGAATAGGAAGAGAACATAAAGAGGTGCAACTTTGATTAGGAACAGTGTCTGCTCTCCTAGAGGGCCTGGGTTCAATTCCCGGTAACCACATGGTGGTTCACAGCCATCTATAATGGGATCTGATACATGCCCTCTTCTGGTGTGTGAGCTCACATGCAGATAGAACACTCAAACTACACAAGCAAATAAACCTAAAATAATTGTTTGGGGACAAGTTGCAGTGCCTGTTGTTTTGGACCCTGGAAGCTGATCATGACGGAAGATAGTTTGGTCACTGTTGCTGACAGTGCATGACTGGCTGTGCTGTGATTTACTGCACATTCTCCACGGATTTACTGCAGATCTTTTCTCCCCCAGTGCTGGGGCTAGAACCCAGGACCTTCCACTTGCTAGGCAAGCTCTCCTCCACGTGGTCCGACCCCAGCCCACCTCAGACCTTTCTGTTAAGTATTTTTCTTCTTTATCAAACCCTTTCCCCTTCTGTGAGCCCCTTTGTCTTAATTGCTTCTCCCTTATTAATTAAATGCAGATAGCCAGTCTGCCTCTCATCTCATCAGAAGGCTGATTTAGTAGACAGATTTTCTTGAGAGTGTGTGTGTGTGTTGTCTGTCTGCAAGAGTCTCTTGTAGTCCACGTTGACTTTGAACTTGCTGTATGGCCAAGTGTCAGGGTTTCTGTTGCTGTGATAAAACACCAGCTCAGGGGTGGCACCTCCCACAGTGAGCTGGGCCTCCCACATCAGTCACCAACCAAGACAATGCCTGCAGGCCTGCCCAGTGGAGACATTTTTTCAGTTAAGATTCCTTTTTCCAGGATGACCAGAAATGTGTCAGGTGACATCAAAACTAGCCAGCACACCAACAATAACCTTGAACTCCTAACCTTCCAAGTGCTGGAGTCGCAGGTGTGTGCCGCCTCAGCCTGTCCTCTTTCCTGACAAGTACCCTGGTGACTTGGGCCAGCTGTTCACAAATCATGTGGAATGCACTGGTGTTCTTCAGGAACTTGGTGACTTGGGAAACATCAGTTCCTGAGCTCTGGCTTCTGCTCCACAACTAAGATTCTCACAAGTTATCGGCAACTACTTTGCTGTCAAGTCTAGACAGTGTTTCCTGTTTGTCTCAGCATTTCCTGTGACCACAGGATGAGGTAAGGGAAGTACACGCTCTAATACTGGATACATTTAAAACTTTGATGTTTTGTCATGAACTTTATAATGCCTTTTTTTTTTTTTCCCCGTTGAGTTTTGAGGCAAGGTCTTGCTATATTATTCTAGCTGGCCTAGAACTCATTATGTAGCCCAGGCTGACCTGAAACTTGTGGAAATCTTCCTGCTTCTGTCACCAAGTGCTGGGATTTCAGATGTGAGTCCCCACCCTTGACCTTAATGTCAATATTTTGAGTGTATTACGTCAAAGTAGGATTTGGTGAGGTCAAAAAGAAGGAAAGCGAGCAAAGCAGGCCACACGTGGGCAAATGTCTGTCATCCTGGAACTTTGAAAACAAAGATAGAAGGATCGAGGCCTCAGGGTCATCTTCAGCTGTATAACAAGCTCAAGCGTTCAGTCTGGGCTACTAGGGACCCTGCCTGTCTGAAAGAAGAAGGAACAGAAGAAGAAAATGGTGGATTTGACTAGGGATTTGTTTAGTGCCCTTTTAAGTTTCTGACCTAAAGCAAGTGTGCCCCTCACCTTGCCTAGTTTCAACCCTTCTACACTAGCTTCTGCACCTCCATTTTCCTTGTATCAGACAGGATCTTGCTATGTATCCCAAGCTACTACCCTCAATCATGGGATCCTCCTCTCTGGACCTCCCAAGTGCTGGCCCTTGAGGAATGTACTGTTACTGTGCCCACTGCCCCTTTTGAAACACTCCATTCCTTGTCTTCCTCCTATCCTCCTATTTCTCTGCCTCTGCTGCAGGGCCTGCCCTACCCACCCCTCAAGAGCTGATGCATGCAGTCCGCTCACCTCTTCTCTTTTGTAGTCAGTGCATTTAATACCTTGGACATCGTGCCTTCTCCACGTGTCATGTGTCTGCCTTTTAGAAGGCACCGAGCCACTGCTAACAGGATGAGTCTGTGAATAGATCCAGTTCCTACACCTAGAATCATCCATAACTTATCTTTTTTGTGATCCTGCCATCAGGAGTAGCCCAACAGAAGGCAATATAGTCAGTCAGAGATCCCTCCCACCAACTCCCCCAGTTATTCACCTGGAAGGAAAACAAACCAATATAACATCGTTATCCTTTGCAAAACTGACCATATAAGCATAAACCTTTTGTCACTCTTAAACTCCCATAACAGATCAGCACAACCAATGATTTAAACATTAATAGTAACACATTTACAGGCTAGTCACTGAGTCTTTTTACATACTAGGCCCTGAGCTCTGAACCATTCATGTATTTTGTAGGTTCAGTAGAGCTGTGTATGGTGGCACATGCCTGTGATTCCAGCATTCAGGATGCTGAAGGAGGAGCATCTTGAGTTACAAACTATTCTGGGCTACATGGCAAGACCCTTTCAAAAAGAAGGGGGATGGGGAGGAAATAAAGGGAGGAAAAAGAGGAGGAGGGGTGAAGCAAGAGGAAGGGGAGGAGGAGGAGAAGAGAAAAGGAGGGAGGGAAGAAGAGCATTATAATACGGGGCTGAAATCAAGACTACCCTGGGACACAAGGAAAAGAAGGTAACAGAAGCTTGTTTGCCTAGCTAGTAACTTAAGAAAAAGAGGCAGGAAGGGGGAGGGACTGGGAGGAGGAGAGGGACAATGTAGCAATAAAGAGATTATTATGAGGGCTAATAGCCTGGTCCAAGCTATGATAGCAACAGGCAGGGGAGCCTGGCTCCAGAGCAAACACTGTTTTTGCAGTAAAAAGCCTTTCCTAATGAGCCAATCTGTCTCTCCTTCTATTGGCATCCTGGGAACTGGGGTGCAGCAGAGATAATTCGCCTCACACCACCCCCCAACAAAGCACCATTACCTCCAGCCCATTACATTAGCCTGTATCAGTCCTAGAGGCTCTCAGTCATCCTCATGGACTGCAATAATTCCAGCTAATTTCTTAAGTGTTCTAAGAGCCTGTGATGTGTTATGAGCCTAGTAATTGTTGACTGGCTCCCTTTCTGCTGGGGCTTGATTTCATACCTTGCATTTGAGCTGAAGCCTGCTCTAGATGCTTTATTACAGCGAGGCTTTTTGCAAAGGCTCACATTAAAAAAAATAACATTAAACACTGAGGTTGTTTTAAATCAGAGTTTAATTTTTCCTCCATTTCCTGTTATTCTTATTAGGAAGCCATGCAATTCTTCATAAGGATAGTGACCTCCAGTGTAAAACTTTGAATAAGTACAGACTGCAGAATTAACAATAAAGCTAACTCTTTTTTGTTGTGTTGGTTTTATTTTTCAAGACAGGGATTCTCTGTGTAGCACTGGCTGTCCTGGAACTCACTCTGTAGACCAGGCTGGCCTCGAACTCCCAGAGATCCACCTGATTCTGCCTCCTGAGTGCTGGGATTAAAGGGGTGCACCACCACCTCCCAGCTGAAGCTAATTCTTGGTAGAGAAGTCCAGGAATGAGACCCAAAATAATGAGCTGTGCTGAGACCCAAGGATGCACCAGCTGTGGCTCTGAGAAGCTTGAGAAATCGACCATCAGTTTTCTCTATACACTTGGATTTATGGGAACCTCTTTGCTCCCTAGGGAGTTTGCACGGCCCAGATGCCTTGACTGCCCTGGAAGAACTTGTTAGAGAGCAGGGAAGGAGATAACACCATAAAGGGCACATATCTGCCACTTGCTGGTCCTGGGCCCCGGGGCAGTGCTAGGGACCAGTTTAAGTAAAAAAAAACCACCCAGGAGCTCCTTAACTCTGCTGCAGTTATATGACTGGCTTGGAATTAGAGAAGATCCTGAGGTCCATTGGCATCTTCTTGTCTGCCGTGAGCAGGTGAGTACCATTCCAGAGAAACTCTGGGTCTCAAGCACAAGTCAGGCTCATGGTGTATTCGGTCCACAGTGGGTATGTCACAGCCCCCTGGGGTGGCCCAGAGACACCTGCTCTAGTAGCTCCTCCATCCCACGTCCCATCCACTCTTCACTAGTCAGCACCATGTTGGTTGAGTACTGTAAAAAAATAAAGTAAAATAAAAACATATTTATACTAGACTAGGGAAGGGATTTATTGGCTCACTTAGCTGAGAAAGCCCAGAGGGTGGATGTACATATTTCAGACCTGAACCTACCCAGGGGTGTTACTGAGTTCTCCAGGGTTTGATCTCTTTATGCATCTTTTGCTCCTTTTCTCAGTCAGTCCCCATATTCGGAGGCCTCTGTGTCCTGGGGTCCTCAGGCCCTCCAGAAACCATCCCTGTAGCTCAGCTACACCTACAAGAGAGCACATTTCTTCCCATGGGGTCTTCAAGGTGAACCAGCATAGACCACTATTGTGGTTTAATAAAGATCAGGATAAACAAATAGGCCGAATAGATGTTTATTCAGGGAGAAATAACTTACAACCTAGACAGATGAACACCAGCAAGATCCACCGGACGCTCTCCTCGTCCGGCCAGCAAAAGAGTGTCCCCTGGCTCCTCCTCAGACCTCCTTCCACAGGTCACTTCCACCCCTGGCTCCACCCCCAATGGGCGTGGTCGGTGCCACAGAAGGAGACAAAGTGAATATCCCACTACAGACCCTTACCTGCCTTCTGCAGTCAGAAGGATGGCATCCGGTCACATGCTTGCCCCACCAAATCCACATGGCCCTTGAGTGAGGGAGAAATCATTCACCAAGGGACAATTAAAGTGCCATTATAGAAAGAAGGAAACTGAGAAGGGGAGGGGAAGAGAGAGAAGGGAGGAGAGGGAGCTGGCCAGCTGTGGGGGCTCACATCTGTAATCCCAAGAGGCAGGAAGCAGAGGCAAGAGATCACTGCAAGTTCAAGGCCAGCTTGACCCATATAGCAGTCCTAGTCTACATAGTGAGGCCCTCCCTGTCCAAAAGAAGCAGACACAAAGATTAGAAAAAAGGCAAAGTCATTTGCCTGCTGGATTTAGTTCCAGCATTTTCTTGGCTGGGCACAGTAGCACATGCTTGTAATCTCAGTGTCTCCAGAAGCTGAGGCAGGATAGCAAGTTCAAGGCAGCATGGTGAGATGTAATCTAAACAAATACGTACCTGGACAGTGGTGGTGCACACCTTTGATCCCAGCATTCTGGAGGCAGAGGGAGGTAGATCTCTGAGTTTGAGGACAGCCTGGTCTACAAAGCGAGTTCCTATATTGCATAAATGCATAGCTTATGTTTTTATATATTATATACTTTAATAAATTTTAATATGCATATTAAAATTTAAAAATCCAAACAATTCTATCTCTATCCATGGACATCTCCTGGGACAGCAGCAATGTTGTGAAGACAGTACTGTTTCCTTGGATGCCTTCAGTTCAGGACTGAGGAGCCCTGTTTCAGAATATTTGTTTAAAGATGTGTTGCATTTGTTTAACTATGTGAGGACGTATTACATTTGTTTATGCTGTGGAATATTTGTTTAACTATATAAAGATGTGTTGCATATATTTAATTATGTAAAGATGCTTCCATTTTACCTTGTCTGCCTAAGGCACCTGCTTGGTTTAATAAAAAGCTGGACAGCTAATAGTGAAAAAGGAGGTACAGGTGGGACTTCCAGGCAGGGAGAGTGAGGAAAAGGAGGAGTCTAGGCTTGGGAGAAGAAAGAAAAGAAATGCCAGGGAGATGCCAGGGACCAACCAGACAGACACTGAGAAAGAATGAAAGAAAGGTAAAAAACCCAAGGCAAAGGGTAGATGAATAGAAACAGGTTAAATTAAGTTAAAAGAGCTGATGGGACAAGCCTAAGCTAAAGCCAAGCATAATTAATGATAAATCTCTGTGTCTTTACTTGGGAGCTGGTTGGTGGCCCAAAGAAAATGCTAACTATAGAGCCCCTCAAACATTTTGTTTGTGGCTTCTCTCTGGACAGCAATCGATACCTGATAGAATTTCTTGAGATTGGAGGTGTCCTAACACTTTTGGAAATACTTGGCCTAGAAAAAATCAAGGAAGAGGACAAAAGGGAATCCGTCAAACTACTTCAGATTATTGCAAATAACGGCAGGAAGTACAAGGAACTCATCTGTGAAAGCTATGGTAGGTCCTGGGTATGCCAGCCGGTGGACATCACATCCCCCGGCGCCGGGATGGAATGGACAACACCCACACTGCCAAGGGAAAAAGCTATCATAGGACAGCTAGGTGCATAGAAAGCATTTAGTACTGTTCCCTCAGTGAGCATCTCTGTCTGTGTCACAACCAAAAGACCAGATTTATGGTTTCCCTGATTCATCATTTACTCAAACTATAACTGAGACAGTGGTACACACCTTTAATCCCAGCACTGGAGAGGCAGAGGCAGGGTGATCTTTGTGATTCTGAAATCAACCTGGTCTACATAGGACTTCCAGGACAGCCAGGGATACCTAGAGAGACCCTATATCAAATACATAAATATAGCTTGGGCCAGTGAGGTAGTTAACAGCACTTGCTGCTCTTTTAGAGGGGCCAGGTTCTATTCCCAGCACCCACACAATAGCTCACAAATGTCTGTAACTTCAGTTCCAGGAGATCTGGTATAGCACCTACGCTACAATGTGTTCCACTAATCAGGCAAAGGCCTAGAGATTTAAATAAGAGACAAGACAGCTGATCATGCATGCAACAGGAATGCAGAAATTGAGGGGAAGGAGCGGGCTTATATACTGACTCACAGCACAGTGGAAAACAACCAAGGGTCAAGCATGCAAGTTCGCCTCAGGCTTAGTTCCTCCCCAGCAGATGTGTGTTAGCAAATCAGGAAGAGTACCAAGAACAACTCTGGGGCAAGATGTTCCAATGAAACTGCAGAATGTTCCAGCCAACAGCTCAGGCTTGCTCAAGGTGCCTCGGGGTCCACGCAGGGCCGTACAATCTGGCACTGTCTTCTGGCTTCTGCAGGCACCAGACTCCAAAGAGGTGCACTGACATACATGCAGGCAAAACGCTCATAAGCTAAATTTTAAAAAAGAATAACCACTTAAAATTATTGAACTGGGTGGTGGTGGTGCATGCCTTTAATCCCAGCACTCAGGAGGCAGAGGCAGGCAAATCTCCATGAGTCTAGGCCAGCCTGGCCTTCATGAGCAAGTTCTAGGACAGCCACGGTGCTTACACAGAGAAACCCTTTCTCAAGAAACTAAGAGAGAGAGAGAATGAGGGGGGGGGAAGGCAGGGAGGAAGAAAGGAAAGAAGATAAAATTATTGAATGCCAACTGTACTGGGTATATATAAATGTATCAGGCAAGAGAGATGAAAAATATGGCCTCTAAAACTATGTGTGGTGATACATACTTCCAATCCCAGCAATTGGGAGGTGAAAGCAGGAGGATCAGAAGTTTAAGTTCATCGTCAGCTACACAGCAAGTTTGAGGACAGCCTGGAAAACATGAGACCCTGTCTCAATAAATGATGATGATGATGATAATGTAGCAGGCTTTCTCGGACCACCAGCCCCCAAATCATGACATGGAGACTTATTCGTTATGAATGTTCAGCCTTAGTTTAGGCTTATTTCTGGCTGTGCTGGTTTAATTCCACAGTCCCTTTTACAATCAATCTCATGTCTCTCAGAAGCTGTGGTTCACTCAGCAGCATTCAAAAAATTAAAAATCAATGTAATACTATACAGGATCCAGACTCCCTGTGTATTCCCCGTCTTTACATGGCTTTTTCCCTTTCTATTACCTTACTCTCTTTAAAGCCTCTATCATTTTTAAACTACCTATTTTTTCCTGTCTATATCCATTTTCTTTTCATTCTTAAGCCTACAAACATTTTTAAACACTGTAACCTGTTTAGAGGGGTTTTTCCTTGTCTGGACCTGTCTTTACTGTATGTCTTGTAGCCCTTTCTGACTTCATGAGCCAAACCTTAACCAGCTAAGTAAGCAGTAGCTAGGGCCTCTGCCCAGGCTCTGGCAACTGGCTCCACCCCTCCTCTGTCCCTGGGAGCCCAGCCCTAAGCCTGTATAAGCATTTAACTGGGAGCTGCATCTGTTTGTTTGTTTGGTTGGTTGGTTGGTTGGTTGGTTGGTTGGTTATTTTTTTTAGGGGGGTTGTTTTGTTTTGCTTAGCTTTCTCAGGCCCTGTGTGGAAATTCAGGTCCCACGTTGGAATGCCAATAAAAGGTCCTGTCCTTAAAAAGATTACAGCCAACACTTAAGAGGCAGAAACAAGCATATTTCTGTGAGTTTGAGGCCAACCTGGTCTACATAGTGAGTTCCAGGACAGCCAGAGATACATAATGTCTTTAAAAGAAAAAAAATTACAGCCTGATGAGAAAGGGTTGTATGCCCAGAAAACAAAACTATTTTGAAATTTGAAATGAACCTACATAATGTATGGGTGAGACAATTTCTAATGTTCTTTTGCTGAACAGTAAACTCATGGCCTCATGAATTCAGGGTAAGAACTTTTCCCTCTAAGCTACACACATACACACACACACACACTCACACACACAAGCTCCTGTGCTGTACAAAACTACTCTGGCCAAATAGCTGGAAGTAAACACAACAGTAAAGCAGCATGAAAATTGATCCTTAACTTTGCTTTGGTTAAACAAGTTTGATGGAAAAGCTTTTAAAGCAACCCCGGATTACTCAACCTTGAATGGGAATTGTTTTCCTAAATCCTGTCCGAGTTGGCATTTTCTCTTCTTCGCCCAGGTGTGAGAGCCATAGCAGAATTTCTGGCCAAGTCTAAATCGGAAGAGACCCAGGAGGAAGTGCAAATTCTGCTGGATGCTCTGCTCCATGGTAACCCCAAGTACCAGAATCAAGTTTATAAAGGTCTAATAGCTCTGCTGCCCTGTGGGTCCCCAAAAGCCCAGCAGCTGGCCTTGCAGACTCTCAGGACTGCCCAGGTGAGCCACAGCTATGCGCTGGAATTCTGATTTACATGGCAGAGTCTTACAAGTACCTTTCCCAGAGTCTGGTGAGGAGGAGCTCAGCCTTCCACCGCCTGTCTGATAGTCAATCAGTGTCAAGGCAGGACACCCTCAGGGGTGGGGGTGGGGTGTTCATGCCTCCCAACAGAGAGATTTGTGCTGTTTATTTAAGGATCAAAAAGATATTGGCAGACTTCAAAGTGGTTAAGACAAGCAACAAGGACGACTAGGGAACTGTAGAAAAGACAGGCATCCATTTGACAGGGAAGGCAGCATGACTCTTCTGTGGGCAGTGTGTGAGAGGAGACCACATCTCAATGATTAGAAAACTTCTGCCCTAGAATGTGAGTGAAGTCAGGTTTGGGTACCCTGCCTACTCAGGAGGGGAATGCGGTTTTGACATGAATGGTCGGAACTCTCACAAATGCTCCAGAGGACACAAAAGGGCCTCAATGGTGGCAGTGGGAAGGGATTGCAGAGGTTACCAAGGTGGGTAGATGTTTTCCAGACAGAAGTCATAGAACTAAGATTTCACAGCTCAGACCCGAGGATCCCTGGAGTTCCCACCCAGGGCCTCCTACCCTCAGCACGTTGGTAGACCCTTGCTCTTTCTGTCTTCTCAGTAGCGGTACATGTGGTGAATGTAGGTAAAGTTTGCAGAGGTAAAACTAAAAGGCAGGGTTCCAGAGAAAGACATCTCAGGATCTGGGATGAGTAGCTTTCTCCCCCGTGTGTCCTCCCTCCCCCAGCCAAAGTCTTGGCTCTCTTGGTCCTGCCCATCTTAACAAACAGCCAGGAAGGAGACTTGGCTTAATGCATCTTGTGCTAAAGACTGCAGTGTCCGTTCACCCCCCCACCCAGCTTGGCTGTGTATGAGTCCTCATTTCACGTCTTCTAGGCCTAAACAGTCAATGCTCTTGCCCTCTTGTCTGTCTTGCCAGTCAATCATTGGAGCCACACACCCCAGCATCGTGGACTGTGTGCTCTCCGTCCTGGGCACAATGCACCTGGAGGTCCAGTATGAAGGTAGGGAGGTGGCAGTGAGCAGCACATTCCAAAGTCTCCCTCCAATCATAAAGAGCCCGTTGCAGAGTGTCTAAAATAACATTGGCAGAGGGGAAAGGCTGATTTAGTATCAACCAGCAAGTTACTCAGAAAATGGTAGTTGCATTTCATTTATTTGAGCAGTTGTTAGAACCGACTAGGTCCAGAGCTGTCTCTTGTGCGGTTCTTGCCCTCTGCCCTGAAGCCCCTGCCGGCCACCACATCCAGCTAATTACAGTGATTTTTAACACCTGCACCTGTTCCAAGAGGCAGAATTATGAATGAATGAATAAATCCTATCAGTAATAAGATGCTCATCCAGTGTGCACAGGCCTGGGTTGGACTTCAAGCACTGAGAAAAAGAATAAGGAAGCCTAAGGTGATGGTACAGACTTCTGTCCTCAGACTAAGACAGAGCGTTTGCAAATTCCAGGCCAGCCTGGGCTACATAAAGAGACTATCTCATAACAAAACAAACAAAAAACACCCTGGGGAATGTCTTAAAAAAACAAAACAACTAATGTAGACATTAATGATGGCATCCATAAGTTTTCTTTTTCTTTTCTTTTTTTGTTTTTTTTGTTTTTCTGGGGTTTTTGTTTTGTTTGTCTGTTTGTTTTGTTTTTCAAGACAGGGTTTCTCTGTAGCTTTGGAGCTTGTCCTGGAACTAGCTCTGTAAACCAGGCTGGTCTTGAACTCACAGAGATCAACCTGCCTCTGCCTCTTGAATGCTGGGATTAAAGGCGTGCGCCACCAGCACCAGGCAAGTTTTCATTTATTGAATCATTCACTTGTTGGCCTTCCATACGTTATTTCACTTACTTCTCAAAATAATCCTAGGCGTACAAGCCTGGGACTTTCCAGACTGTCAGACGTTAAGGAGGTGAATGGTGGAAGTGTCTGGTGATGACATCTTGATTTTTGTCTTTTGTTTTGTTTTGTTTTGTTTTTCCTTTTGAGACAGTTTGTGCAGTCTAAACTGGTCTTGAACTCTCTATCCTCCTCTGTCAGCTTCCCAAGTGCTGGGCACTTACAGGCACACAGCCAGCCCCACATGAGGCCAAGACTGGTCTTGAGTTCAGGAGCCTCTCAACTCTACCTCTCTACTGGGTCGTGAACCCATTCCACTGCTGTGACCTCAGAGGCTGGGTCCAGGAAACCTGACTTGGGCAATGAGGGAGTGAAGCAAGGACTGACAGACAGACAGACAGACAGATATGAACACACATGGGGGAGGGAGATGGGGGCTGGAATCAGGTGGGCTACTCGCTCTAATAGAGGGTACCAGGAGCAGTATTGATTTCCTACCTCTGAATCCAGGAGCAGCTGTATTGTGGACAGCTGAAAAGGAGCTCTGTGACAAGCAGTCTCCGGCTGTAAATATCTGGGAGGAGGAAGCAGAGGTTGATAGTTTCTGGACACACTGGTTTTAGCTGACGACCACTCACTCATCCTAATGTATACTTGGTCCTGGGGACCAAGTCCCTCTAAGCCTCACTCAGGGAAGGCTTCACCATTTCCATGGCTTTGAGGCTTCATTTGTGGCCAAGTCTCCTAAATAGCATAGCATTGTGGCCTGTTAGAATTTATAGTACCTAGGGGCTGAAGAGATAGCTTCATGGTGAAGAGCACTGGTTGCTCTTCCAGAGGACCCAGGTTCAATTCCCAGCACTCATATGGCAGCTCAAAACTGCCTCTAACTCCAGTGTGAAGGGATCTAACACTTTCACACACACATGTGCAGACAAAACATAAGTGTACATGAAATAAATAAGCAAGCATCAACAGGACCACATAGACACCATACCTCAGTGGGAAGAAGGCCAGATAATACTGTGTCCTTCATAAAACCACCACAGAGGGAGGTGACATTTTTATGGCCAAATGTAATAGACTCCTCTCCCCTCCTTCAGTTTCTCAGCTTAAAGAAAGGGATGTGTGTGTGTGTGTGTGTGTGTGTGTGTGTGTGTGTGTGTTCACAGAGGTCAGAAGAGGACACTGGATCCCCTGAAGACTCTAGAATTCCTTTTAACAACCATCCCACGTAAGCTAAGTAAGTCAAAGTCAGAACGGAGAGGACTTCTCCAAAGTGGCCCTGCCTGGAATTTATTTCCACATATAACTGCCTTGAAGTGAAAAAAATGTCATTTTCTTCTCGGGAAAGATTGCAGTTCCAGGAATTGATGGCAAGAGGGGACTTATCAGAACTAGTTCAATTGACAAAAATGACTGTGCCCTTTCCCAAGAGTAGAGACACTAGAGAGGCTAAAGCCCACAAGCTTGAGGCCAGCCTCCTGAGCTAAACTGTGAGCCTCTGTCTCAACAAAAAACACAACAACCAGGGCTGATGAGATGGCTCACAAGGTAAAGACACATGCCACCAAGCTTGTCAACCTGAGTTCAAGTCCCGGTGTCCACTCGGACTGAAAGGGAAGAGCTGTCTCCCACTAGTTGTCTGTTAGCCCCCACAGGCACACTGTTGCATGTGCACACACAATAAGTAAGTTTTATTTCCACATTTTATTTTAGTTTTGCAAATGGTGTCTCACTATGTAGTCCTGGAACTCACACAGTCTGCCTGTCTGTTTCTCAAGTGCTTGTGTTAAAAGTATGTATCACCACATCCAGCTAAATGTAAATCAAATTAATTTTTATTTTATTTTATGATATGGGTGTTTTTCCTGCATGTATGTCCGGTGCCTAAGGAAGCCAAAAGAAGGCACTGGATCCCCCTGGAACTAGAGTCACAGACAGTTGTGGGTGCTGGGAGCTGAACCTAGGTCTTCTGGAAGAGCAGCCAGTGCTCTTAACAGCTGAGCCATCTCTCCAGTACCTTAAAAACCTTTAAGGGAAATTAATGAGTTCAATTAGTATTTTTTTTTTTTTTAGATTTATTTATTTATTGTGTATACAGTATTCTGTTTGCATGTATCCCTGCAGGCCAGCAGAGGGCACTAGATCTCATTACAGGTGGTTGTGAGCCCACCATGTGGTTGCTGGGAAGTGAATTCAGAACCTCTGGAAGAACAGTCAGTGCTTTTAACCTCTGAGCCATCTCTCCAGCCCTCAACTAGGAATCTTAAAGGGAGGGAGGTGTGACTCAATGGTGCCATGTTCCCCAGCACTGTAAAAAAAAAAAAAAAAAAGTAAGTGATACAGGCCTTTAATCCCAGCACTCAGGAGGCAAAGGCAGGTGAGTGGATCTCTGTGAGTTCAAAGCCAAACTGGTCCACCTAGCGAGCTCCAAGACAGCCAGGGCTACACAGTGAGACCCTGCCTCAAAAATTAAAATTTTTAAAAAATAAAGAAAAAGAGAAAAGAATAAAAGAATGTGGCAGGAATTCTAATAGGCATTAATAATAAAAACATGGAGTCAGATATTGGGGGAAGGTGAGCTGAAAGACCAGAGAAGCAAAGTAGCCAGCTACTAGAGAGTTCTTACCTCTACCAAGGCTCAGCCAAAGGGGTGATCCTGTGCTCAGACTGCATCCTCAGACTGAATACTGCTCACACTGTTACCTCAGACCCCTGTCCCTACCTCCTCAGTGCTGGGATTAAGGTGTGTGCCACCACTGCCTGGCCTGTATGGCTGACTAGTGTGGCTAGCTTTGTACTCTTATCTTCAGGCAAACTTTATTGGTTAGATCACAAACAAAGTATCACCACATCTTCCTTTTTTTGTCTAAAATTAAAGAAGGTTATAAGTAACATAGAAAAACTATATAAAATAAGTATGATAACTATATACAATACATATCGGCAATAAGTACATCAACAATGTCTAGTCCATATTTTTGCATTTGTCCAGTGGTCATTAGATCCCTTAGCTGGATGCCTTTATTCACCTGAAAATTCAAAAACAAAGCCCTTCCCCAACCCTAACTTTGGGGCGGTTCTCTTTTGGCAAGTTATATCTGATTAAATGAAAAGCATTTGTTAGTTTTGTAGGTTTGTTTAGATTAAACAGCCATGCTGCTTGATGAACTATGATCTCTTCTAATCAAGAGGTCTCTCTTATTCAAATAGAATCTTTATCTTTCTTGATGGTATCCATAGCTTTTCTTCTCCTGTGGAAACAAAAGCAAAACCCCCTTCCCCAATGTAACACATGCCCTGGTTTTCATTCTGAGGCCAACACATCTTTAAAGTATACGTATACGTACTGATTTAATTCCATATTTTTTTCTGTTATCCAATGTCTCTCCACAGCTATTGTTCCTTTCTCATTAGCATTTAGAAAATTCAAAGTTAATAGGCATCATGTATAATCTATTTCTGGGGGTCTTTATCATCCCTCTCTGTTTCTTTCTATAACTGCCTGCCCCGCCCTATAGGATTGTGTGGTATTCCTATAATATGCCTTATATTATAATAAGCAAGAACCTGTTTCATTTTCTTACAGACACCTGCTGGAGCATTGTCTGTTTTTATTTGTGCAGGTATTCCCATGACAGCCTAACTTCTAACAAATGTGTGATTACAGAATCAACCTTTTCTGAACTCAAAGCCCCCATTGAAACCCTGAATAGGCATCAATGGTGTGGTGCTCATATTTTAATTTTCCAAATTCTGCAATATGGAACACATTCTCCTGCCAGAATTCACTCCTTTTAGTGCCCTTTGGGTTACTTTGGGTTGCAGAAAGAACAAGTAGGACATTTCTTTATAATTTCATTGTCTTGTTGCCACCTGATAGAAAAATCTTTTTTTTTAACCTTTGCTATTCACATGATTTTTTTTATGAAGTTCTGAGGCCTCCAGTACATTTCCAATCAATAATTGATCAATTTCTTCATTACCTTGGGCCATATGGGTTTTGGAAATTGAATCCAGGTCCTTTGGAAGAGCAGACAGTGCTCTTAACCACTGAGCCATCTCTTCAACCCCAACAATTTCATTTATTAAACTTTAGGCAGATGCAGTGACACATGCCTCTACTCCCAGCAACTTCTGAGACCAGGGAAGGAGGATCCCTTTGTTCGAGTCTTCTGGCTAGCTTGAGCAATATCGTGAGATCTTACTTTAAAAACAAAACAAAACATAGTACACCAATAATCAATATTTACCGAGTGCCTAATGTGCAGCAGAATTAGTATCAAATATTGAATATTTAGTGATAAACACAGCTGATACAGTCCCTGTTCTCTTGGAGGCTTTGGACTAGTTGTAGAGGAACGGAATAAACAAATAATCATATGCATATTTTTCCTGTTATGCAGGAGATTGAACCCACTTGTACATACTAGCAAGAACTACTTCCCAAGCTCTTCACACACACACTCATGTGGAAAGAGAGGCCATGGTAGGCTTAAAGTTTTTCTGCAGCTTGTATCTTAGCACTCAGATTAACAAGTGCTAAAACTGATAATGTTTATAACTGACATTATGTAAGTCCCACCTAAATTATTTATCCTCTCATCTAATTGTTCCATTTTCAAACATTTCAGCATATTATCATATAGAGACCTAACTCACTCCATTGTAATGGTGCTTCCATTTTATAATTTGGGGGGGAGGAACTTTTTTTTTTAACTTATTCCCCACTTCAAGAATTCCCTATTGTCTCACCAAATCTGCCGAGGAAGATGGAGGAGCAGAAGGCTGCATAGCTTGTGATTGGAGAACACAGGCAGTGACCAGCCTGTCTGAGGACAGCTGCAGCTGCTAGTGTGTCGCTGTGGGCTGAGAGTGGCAGCCCAAGGAGGGCGGTTCTAGGGAAAGCCCTCAACCCACGGGGGAAAGGGATCTGGCTGTCTGAAAAATGCACACAGCACTGTGGGGGAAAACCACGTGTGGTGGGAGCCGCCCGAAGGCAGAGCCAGCTGGTGTAGGGCAGGTAAATCCAGACGGCTCCATTGGAGCCCAGGTGCCCATGGAGTTTGTTGCAGAGAGGGGCAACACTCTATTAGAGGCTTAGGGAAAAGAGAGAAGAACCTAGCTGTTTGAGCAATGACTCTAGCTGGAGTCCTGCATGGGGCTCCAGCCTGTGCCCATGGCTATAAAACCACAGGCAAGCGGCTTTTTTTTTTTTTTTTTTTTTTTTTTTGGGAATTCGTACCCCAAAGGTAGGGTACCGAATGTAGCATGAACCCTAATAGGTCTTAATAATAAAAACACAGAGTCAGATATTGGGTGTGGGGTAGCCAAAAGATCAGAAAAGCAAGGCAAACAACCACCAGAGAGCTCTTACCTCTACCAGACAGGCAATCCTGGCCTCAGACTGCATCCTCATGAATTCTGCTCATACTGTTGCCTCAGACTTACTATGAGCTGTCTCCACCTCCCCCGAGCTGGGATTAAAGGTGTGTCATTCCAAGTGCTGAGGGCACCTTTGTGACAGCTTTGTTTCTCTTTTAGACTGGATGAGTTTTGTGTAGCCCAGGGTGGCCTTGAACTAAAAGTACTTATAGCTGGACATGATGACATATCTCCATAATCCCTAATGAAGGTAACAGGTTCAAGGCCAGTGTAAGCTACATAACTAAAACACTGAAGACTCTGTCTAATAGTCAGTCAGTCAGTCAATCAAGGCTTTTGGGTTTTTTGTTTTGTTTTGTTTTGTTTTTGGATAGGGGGTTGGTTTTTCTAGTCAAAGTTTCTCTGTAGGTTTTGGAGACTGTCCTGGAACTCTCTTTGAAGACCAGGCTGGCCTCAAACTCACAGAGATCCACCTGCCTCTGCCTCTGCCTCCCGAGTGCTGGGACTACAGATGTGTGCCACCACTGCCTAGCCTGTCAATCATTTTCGGTGTTTCAATATTGATCTTTGATTATGATGTAGTGAGAATGTAGTGAATTAATCTTTTTTTTTTAGTGCTTCAGCATTAGTGTTTGAAGAGGGTGTAGTTAAAAGGGTAGCAGAGCACACAGCAATCAGAGAGCATGTGACTGGTCAGCTACAGCCTGCCAAGCACATTCTGCTGGAAAAGACAATTTATGTTGACATGCGCTTCCTCAGTACAGACAGAAGGTGGCAGTCTTGTCTAGAAGTGCATAGGAAACTAGTGCCCTGATTTCCCAAGACTCTAGAAGCAAAGAATTCTGCTGCTGCTGCTGCTGCTGACTCCAGAATATATGTGGGCACCTTGGAAGTGGCTGCATGTGTATAAAAATTTTAGATTTACTCTGTTCACTGTAAGGGCTTCTTCATCTTGATCTATAAAATGATTATATGTACAGCTATATAATTATTTACAGACAGATTAACAGAAAAAAATCTCATTACTTCCCTAAACACAGATTCTACAGGGGAGGCTCAAGGGCTGAACTTTGTGTACAGTTAAGCAAAGGAATCAAGGCTTCCAGTTATAGAGGGACCGGAAGTGACTGCAGGTTCTGGGAGGTTGAGGGGAGGAGGCAGGAAGCAAGGGTTTTCTGGTTACACAGAGTCCCCAAAGCAAGAACTACCTGTGATGATGTCTGTGTGGACAAGTGTCAAACCCCAACCTCTTCTTGCCAGAAAAAGCTCTTTCCTGGACAACAAGGATGGCATGTCACAGGAATCCTGTTTATAGCCTGGCTGCTTAATACAGATTCCTTCATGATGTCAGTCCCTTTGCGGAGTGCATTCTTTCCCATCCATTCCCATCCACAGAGGTGTGCAGTTTCTCCAATAATCAATTCAAACAGTGAGCATGGTGGTATACTCCTTAATCCCAGCACTCAGGAACCAGAGACAGGAGGATCTCTTTTAATTAAGGGCCAGCCTGATCTACATAATGAGTTCTATGTTAGCCAGGATTATGTGCTAAATCCCTGTCTCAAAATCAAAATACAACAACAAAAAATCTAAAATCACTCAAACATACATTGGAGCACATTCATGTGTGTGCACATACAAACACACACCCATAAGTGTGATATTTTACTTTACCCTCTCATTTGAAATATCCAAGGTCCCAGGTGCTCAGGAAGAGCTGGAGTTTGCTATGTAGTGTAGGCTATGCTCAAATTCACAATGCCCCTGCCTCAGCCTTTCCTCAGCTTCCCAAGTGCTTAGAGAGCAAGCACATTGAGCTGTCTAGGAAGTATCTGTGTGTACATACATACATACAGGGTTTTGGTCTACATAAAGCAGCCTAAACCATCTTCAGACCCACAATCCTCCTGCCTCATCGTCTGCAGTGTAGGAACTATAGGCATCTCCCTATAGGAAGTGCCTGTGGGGGAAGCAGGTCTTCTAGCCACCATTCCTGGCTAGTTTTTTCTTTGATGGCCTGGACCTCCTGATTCTCCTGCCTCCACATCCCAAGTGCTAGGCTTACAAGCGTGTTGGAGGCATTTGCATGTCATGGCGCACCTGTGACAGTCAGGACAACCTGGTGGGGTCACTTCTCTACTGTCTTTACCTGGTTTTGGGGGGATCAGCCTCAGGGCAATAATGAAGATGGGGAGTCTCAAAAAACAAAAGACCCAGCCCAGGCCTGAGGGTGTGGCTAAGGGGTAGAGTGCTTGCCTAGAATGCAGGAGCCCTGGGTTTGATCCGTAGGGATCAGGTTCTTAAATGATAAATGAAATCTGCCGTACCCGGCCCTTTCCTCCTCCATCGAACCTGAAGTCCTCCAAACTGGTGGCAACTCTTTTCTATGGGCCGCAAACCTCAGCTCTGACCTGAAGGCCTTTCCTGGGTGGGCTCTCCATCCCTGTCTTCCCACTGATTCCTACTCTTGCTGGTTCTAGTCACGAGCTCCAGGCAGGCAGGAAGTGTAGCCTCCCCACAGAAGGCCTTACCAGGGGCTGAGCAGCAGAAAGCACAGGAGAGGTGGGGATGGGGAGGGCAGAGTAGAAGGTAGTGAGTTCTGAAGGACCAGGGGCCTCTCCAGCATCTCTGTCCTCCCCAGCCATTGAGCTGATAAAGGACCTGATCCACTATGACGTGCGCTTGCCTCTGCTCAAGGGCCTCGTGGCACTGCTCATCCCATCAGTCAAGGAAACTTCCAAACTGCAGGCCAAGATCTTCACTGGTAGGTCTCCCAATGTGGGCCTGCCCCTGGAGGAGGGAGGGGGCTTCCTGCCTAATGGTCCCTCGTTTCTTCAGACTCATCGATTATCCAGGTCACCACTCAGCTACCAGTGTTCTTGCAGCAGGCTGCGGCTGCCAAGACCATCGGGTAGGCCAGCAGGGGGAGTGGGTGCTTGTGCAAAGCCGAGACTCACACTGTGCAGGCCCATGCACTTGTCTGCCTCCTGAACCCTAGGATTAAAAGCATGAGCCACTGTGCCCAGCTCATAAATACACACACACACACACACACACACACACACACACACACACGACTGGGCATGTACTTGCATGGTAGAGGCCAACAGATTCAGCCAGCCTTGTTTACATAGTGAGTTCAGGCCAGCCAGGGCTTTATAGTAAGATTGAGTCTCAAAAAGAAAGAAAGACAAGTCTGGCAGTAGTGGCTGTTAATACCAACACTGAGAAGGCAGAGGCAGATCTATGTGAGTTCAAGACTAGCCTGGTCCACAGAGTGAGTTCCAGGAGAGGCTCCAAAGCTAGAGAGAAACCCTGTCCTAAAAAACAAAACAAAAGACAGAATAGTGTGGTTATGGGCTTCTCAAGAAAGCTCATTGTCTTAGTTTCTTGTTGTTGTTGTTGTTGTTTGTTGTTGGTTGTTTTTGCAATAAGGTCTCTCTATGAGAGAGTCTATGTAGATGAGGCTGGCCTGGAACTCACAGAGATCAGCCTGTCTCTGCCTCCTTAGTGCTGGGATCAAAGGCGTGCGCCACAAAGCCCAGCTCTGCTGGAATTCTTGTTTCTCAGCTGAAGAGAGAGAGAGGCTGCAGACTTGGGAGTGAGGGACTCCTTCCCCCTCCTATGTCCCCACACTTTTCCCTGTCTTCTTACCCTTCCTCGCAAGGGTCCTGGCGCGAAATGACTTGAAAGTGGCAGAGGAGCTACTGCACATGCGTGTGGTCCACAGCCTGATGACAGCCATGGGCAACACGGACCACAGCAATAGCCAGAGACTGGCCAGCCTCACACTAGAGGTGCTCGTGCTGGGGTGGGCGTGTGGCAGATTGCAGGGCATGGGCAGTCAAGTCAGCAGACACCCACACTGTCTTGCCACCCCACCCACCTTCTGCCACAGTTATTCGTGCAAATGTTCCCATTGGTGGAGGAACATGTCCGCAAGTCCATGGGGGAGGAACTCTACCAGCTCTTCCTTGTAAGTATTTCTGTTCCCACCAGCCTCAGCAGCTGCCCAGGACAGAACGGTGCCCTCATGCAGAGTGAATAAATCTAGTCTCCTGACTTGGCCACCCGTACACACACACACACACACACACACACACACACACACACACACACTGTCATCTTCTGCCCACCTGCCCTAGCTAGTAAGCTGTGAGCAGGACCTCTCTGCCTCAGCAGCTCTGCTTGCAGTTAACCTTCCTCTCCAGCCCCACTCCAGGAACAGCACACTGCTGTGGTGCCAGGCAGGCTCCCCCTGCTTCTCTCCTCAGAGCAATGCTGAGATCTTGTATGCCAAAATAGATAGCATTCAGGCAGACATCTTGGCAGCCAACAAAGTCAATGTTACCAAAGGTGAGTAGGGGGTGAGGGGACCCAGAGCCAGGGCAGAGCCAGCAATCAGGCTCATGCTGACCTTTGCTGCCTGCAGCCTTACACCTCTGTGAAGGTACCACCAACAGCTGCTTCAACTTTTTCATGGGTCCTGGAGATTTGAAGGAGGTGGATTATGTCACCCACTTTGAGAAGTTTTGTTCAGAATCGAAGAAGTGACAGAGCCCCTGTCGCAATCAAGAAGGCCAAGACTGTGCCTCATGGAAGCCTGCCTACCAGGAGGAAGGCGTTGAAGACAGCGCCTCTTGGTTCTGGGTGGGAATCTGGGAGTTAGAAAACACAGTGGGGGAGAGGGAAAGCAGAAGGATCTAATAAAGAGTTGTGATGCCTGTACTGTGTAGTATGGAAGGAACGGAGATCTATAAAAGCTGTGTAATAGGGTTGGGGAGTGTTCCCACTCATCAAAAGCAGGTCCCAAGAGAAGGGTCACAAGACTCTGGAAGAGCTCCGGGGCATCCTGTGGCCTTAATGGAGATCCTTGATCCTTCCAGACAGCGATTCTCATGAGGCCTTGCTAATACTGCCACCCTACAGCCCCTTGTGTTGTAGTCCCCTCCACAGCCATAGTTATTTTCATTGCTACTTCATAACTGTAATTTTGCTACTGTTATGAATCATAATGTAATATCTATGTTTTCCAAGAGACTCCTGTAAAAGGGTCATTCGACCCAAAGGGGTCATGACCCACAGTGTGAAAACCACTGCTCTAAGTTATCTCACAAACACAAACACAAACATGCACGCACGCACGCGCATCTGTCCTGCCTTCGCTCTGGTTCTGCTCCCTCAACCCTTTCTAGTCCAGCCAGACACATCTCCTTGTGTCTAATAAAACATCTCCAGCCAGCCTGTGGTGGCAAATGCCTTTAATCTCAGCACTCTGGAGGCAGAGGAATGTGGATCTCTGTGAGTAGGAGTCCAACCTGGTCTACAAAGTGAGCTCCAAAGCTACACAGAGAAACTTTGTCTCAAGAAACCAAACCAAGACAAAAAAAAAAAAAAAAAAGGGAGAGAGCGATCCAGTGCTGGGCCAACTTCCCCTGTTCCAGTGATGGTCAGGCTCCCTTCCTGTAACTCAATGCCATAGTGTCCCTTGGAGCCTCTGCTTAGTCTCCATCTCTCTATGATGCACTGATGACCTTCCAAGTATCTCTAGAACCCAACATCTCACTCCTTTACCCCATGTCTTATACCTGGGCTGAGCCCTCATCACTCTCGTTTCTGCTTTTCCCCAGTCTCTCTCAGGTTTTGCCTTGCAGTGCCGAGGATGGAGCCTCAGGCCTCACAGCTGCTATGTGACATTCCATCACATCCCCAGCTCTTTCTACTTTTTATTGAGGCAATAGCTTCCTAAGTTACCTAGGCTGACCTTGAACTTGCTCTATAGTCCAGGATGTCATTGGGCTTCCTGCCTCTAGTCACCAGTGACTGGAATAGCAGACCAGTGCTACCAAGCCCAGCTAACTCAGTTTTGTGTTTTAGTTTTGATTCAGTTTGGGTTCTTCTGTTCTCCCTGTTGTTCATTTTTTCATTGGGGGTTTTGGTTGGTTGGTTGGAATTCACTCTATATTAGCTTGGCCTTGAACTCACAGAGATCTGTCTGCCTCTGCCTCTTGAGTGCTGGGATTAAAGGAGTGCACTGGCTGGACAGATAGCTCCTTGGTTTAGACACTGGTTGGTCTTCCAGAAGACTTGGGTTCAATTCCAAGCACGCACACGGCAGCCCACAACTGTCTGTAACTCCTGTTCCAGGGGATCTGACACCTTCACACACACATTCAGGCAAAAACACCAATGCACATAAAATACAAATTATTTAAAAAATAAATAAATGAAAGATTGCAGCACCCCATCCCACCATGCCACACTCCTGCCTAGTAGTTAGTTGGTTTTTCAAGACAAGGTTTCTCTTGTCTTGCTGGCCATGCTGGCCGTGAACTCACAAAGATCCCTCTGCCTCTGTCTCCCAAATGCTGAGATTAAAGGCATGCATCACCACCACCTAGCCTCTTGGGGGTTTTGTTAGTTTTAGTTTGGGTTTTATGTTGTCTTTAGATTTTGTTGTTTTTCTTTGCTAGGAGACTGTTGATATTTTGTCTTTTCCAGTCAAGATCTAGTGTGTACTCCAGGCCAGTCCAGAACTCAGATATCTGTCTGCTTCTGCCTCCTGAGCGCTGGGATTAAAGGCTCAAACCAGTATTGACCCAGCTGGGATTTTTTTTTTTTTTTCTTTTTAGCATAGATAAAGGAAAACTGAAAAAAAAAAAAAAAAGATTCCCCCAAAGTGGAATAGGCTCAAAGGAAGGAAATCTAAAGTTTTCTGGTTGGTTGGGGTTTTTTCCCCAAATGGGGAGAACTGTTTTTTGTTGTTGAGGTTTTAAAACATGACCTGGAACCTTAATATAGCCAGGGACAATTTTGAGTTTTCAGTCCTCTGGCCCAGTACTGAGGTCCTAAGCACACACTGGGTGAAACAACTCCCAACCTTGCCGGTGAGAACGCCAGAGTTCAGCTCTTCCCCAAGGGAGTAACTAACTAACAGTTGATCAGACGACTTCCATGAGACCTTACAGAATTGACTGCAGTTACACAAAATGTGTGGCCTTCATGCAGATCTCTATGAATTCAAGGTCAGCCTGGTCAACACAGTGAGTACCACAACAGTCAAAGATACACTGATATAACCCTGTCTCAAGGAGAACAAAAAAGTGTAGAGAGGAAACTTATAAAATTATATTATAGAATTTAAGACAGCTAAACCTGTTTTCTTTGACATTTTGAGACAGGGTCTCTCTATGTAGACATGGTTGCCTTGGAACTCACACAAATCTGTGTCTTGCATATTACATTCCTTAGCTTTACTGTATCAAGTAGTATGACAGGTAAAAAACAAGAGGCCTTTTTGGGAAAAGTGCATAACAAAAAACTTAGAAATAGCTAGAAAATAGATTTGTGAGAAAAACAAATCCAGACTGGTGGCAGCAAAGACTCTCAACAAAATGGGCAAGCATGAATTTCAAGATTTGGAAAAGCTATACAGAAAAACCCTTAAGAAGTACAGAACGCAAGAGTGTCTTATGAATGTTGCTTAAACTTCATACTGCTAAAACATAAGGTTGTTTCTGCTTCTAACTTTAAACCACTATTAGTAGTCCCGCATACAGCAGGACCTCAAAAAATTAGGTTAAGACTCAGAATTGTTCCTCTCCACGGAAATCTTTAGTAAAAGGCGAAAGATTTATACGATCTGAAGAGAAACCAGAGTATGCTCTGCACCACTCCGCCCACCGTCCTCGGCCGCCTGAAACTCCTATATAACCAATGGGAACTAGCTGCACAAAAACAGGTGGTCATTGACGTCTGCTTTCGCCTCACATTCAGTCTCTGGATGCCGCATCGCTATCAAGAAAAAATGAAAAGCAACAAAAAAAAAGGAAAAGAGCTTATACTTTTAAATGAAAGCGCGGATCTCTGTGCAGTGCATTGTGGGTATGTAAAAGACGTTCAGTCTCCAGCCAGGTTTCCTACACGACAGCCTTTATCCTTGTGCTAGCGCTGGGCTACCATCAGGGGGCAGCACGAAAGTCGTATTTACAGGAATGCACACACCAACCACAAAGTCTGACTTTTCAGGGAGGGGTCGCCGAAGCCCCACCCTTAGAGGGGAGCTATTGGCAGTTGATGGTTATTGAGGGAGGGAGTGTTGCTCCCGCCCCAATAAGACTCCCCACCCGTGCGCATATGTGCAGCACTAACTGGACTCAGGTGGTCATTAGTAAGAACTTTATAACAAAACAATAAATAAAGGAGGTGAGGTGGGAGAGAGTCGGGGTGTAGTAAGTTGGAGAAAGGTAATGGTGGATGGATGCTGTCTTAGAATTTCTATCGCTGTGGCAAAACAGCACCACCAAAAGCACCTGGGGAGGAAAGGGTTTATTTGGCTTATAATCCATTCAGCATTGCTGTTCCTCACTGTAGGAAGTCAGGACAGGAACTCAAACAGGGCAGGATCCTGGAGGCAGGAGATGATGCAGAGGCCATGGAAGGGTGCTGCTTATTGGCTTGCTTCCCATGGCTTGCTCAGTCTGCTTTCTTACAGGACCCAGCACCAACAGCCCACAGATGGCTATCCCCCCCATTGATCCCTAAATTATTAAATGCCTTACAGCTGGACGACACCCAGACATTTCAACTGAGGCTTCTTCTTCTGATGACTCTAACATGTCAAGTTGACACACAAAACCAGCCAGTACAGATATGATCCAAATATATTGGATATTGGGTTGTGATGCTCTACACCTTTAATCTCAACACTCGGAGACAAAGGCAGAAGTATCTCTCTGACTGGAGGTCAACTTGTTCTACAAAGCAAGTTCCAGGCCAACATACACACATGCACACTAAAACTATAATTACATTTTTAACTTTTTAAACTTGGTTGTGTGTAAGCATGTGCGTGTGTATGTGTGTGGGTGTGAATGTTGAGTGTGAAGGCATGGCAGCAAGCACCTCTACCACTGAGTCATCTCACAGGCTCCAAACTGACTGTGTTTTAAACCCAAGCATCACATCCACACAGTTATATTAGCCTTGAACTGTGGCAACTTATTTAGAATTTGAAGAGTTTTGCTACATACGGTTGGTTATCCAGACCCAAGGCAAACTTGTTTCTAGTTTCCCACACTGATTTTGACTCAGTTCTTAGGAGTTTATATCACAGGCCCCTTCTACTTGTCTAGAAGAGGAAACTGGAGAGGTGACAAGTGATTAAGAACACTTGCTGCTCTTGCAGGGGACCCGGGTTGGGTCCCACATGCTGGCACATCACTGCACCTGGTACACTTGCATACATAAAGGCAAAACACTTATAGAATAAAAATAAATCAAAAGCAAACCTAAGAAAACTTGCCTAGAAGAGCAGATAGCATGGTGTAGTGGTTCACATCTGTAATCCCAACACTCAGGAAGTAGAGACAGGATGGATGTCAAGAATTCAAGCCGCCTGAGCTACAAAGACCCTGTTTTGAAACAAACAAACTGGTAAGATCATTAATTCAAGGTCATCCTTAGCTACATGGCAATCGAGTACAGTTGGACCACAGCAGACCTGAGAGAGAGAGAACAGGTAATTATAACTCGACCCATCAACACATATGCCACATCAATCTCTCATATTGTTAATACTTCATTGATTTTCTGATTTTTAAAAATAATATCGAACCAGGCTTGGTGACACATCTTTAGTGCCAGAACTCAGGAGGCAGAGGAAGAAGGATCTTTGTAAGTTGGACAATAGTCTGCTCTTTGTAGCAAC